CCAGCAAATACCATGCGACCAAAGATGGAGAGCAACTCCGAAAGCACCTCATTTTAGTGTCACTGGGAAAATTGGTGCATATGCTAACAAGGGTGACTTCTTTTTTTTTTTTTTTTATAATTTCACATGATGTCTTAGTTATAAAGAGGTACGTTCTTTGCTGTCTGTTGTGTGGTCTTTGGGGATTGGTTGTTTTTGTGCTCCTGTCTCGTCATAATGAGGCCCACGAAGGCTCTGCGAAGACAGAAGAATATTTTTCTTGACGTTGATGAATTGCTTGCATGAAACCATAGTTAGAGCTATAGACTGCAAAGAGCATTGCATGTTGTCATAATGAATTCATAAGCCACAATTACATATGAAGAGTTCAGATGCAAAAACCTCTAAGTGCATTTTTCCTCAGGATCCTATGTGTGTGTCCAGTTTCACTTTAAAGGCAATGCAAAGAACATATTATTTGCCATAAAAGGGGGTTTACTAAACACACACAGGAAGTGGAGAAAAAAATGTTAATTTTAGGAGAAAATTTCACACGGCTTTTAAAGGTTTTTGCATCTGAATTCTTCATATTATGAAAATTATTATTGTGTATAATATGTATATGCTTGTTGATAGAGTATATTAATATGTACACATAATAACTTATGCTGAAATGCAAACCGGTGAGGCAGTAGGTAGTTCTGTTGCCTCACAGCAAGAAGGTCGCTGGTTCGAACCTCGACTCAGTTGGCCTTTCTGTGTGGAGTTTGCATGTTCTCCCTGCCTTCGTGTGGGTTTCCTCCGGGTGCTCCGGTTTCCCCCCACAGTCCAAAGACATGTGGTACAGGTGAATTGGGTAGGCTAAATTGTCCGTAGTGTATGAGTGTGTGTGTGTGTGAATGTGTGTGTGGATGTTTCCCAGAGATGGGTTGCGGCTGGAAGGGCATCCACTGCGTAAAAAAACTTGCTGGATAAGTTGGCGGTTCATTCCGCTGTGGTGACCCTGGATTAATAAAGGGACTAAGCCGACAAGAAAATGAATGAATGAATGAATGAATGAATGAAATGCAAACCTGTTTTTTCCTCATTAAGTTCCAAGCTTAAAGTCATACTGTGCAAATTTGAACTATCCTGTAAATAATTATATGTATGCTTAAAGTAGCAATTTTACTATAAAAATGGTTGAATGACCTATTAAGAGTTATACATTGTATGTGCATATGTAAATAAATAAATAAAGTAGTCAATATTTGAAATGGATCAAAACCTTTCAGAGTTATTCATAAACTGATACACAACAGTTGTTAAATCTTTGAGTAAACTTACAAGGTGCGCAAAAAAAGACATCTGCAGTTTGTTCAAATAACTTACCTAAAATGAGCTGAAACAACACAATTCTTGAGGGTTTTTGGTGACAATTTAATCGTTTTATGTTCAAACCACTTAAATTTGTAAAAACTAACACATTAACATAATTCCTTCATGTTGTTCCATCGCAAATCAATTGCATGGAACCCAGCGATTTTGTTTTTACAGTGTAACAAAATCCTCCTCTGGCTGCCTAAGTTCCATTTTGATTATAAAATATTGCTTCCTACTAATAAAGCTTTAAATAGTCTAGCTCATGTTTATCTAACCAACCTTCTGTCTCGCTACAATCCAACCTGCTCTTTAAGATCTCTAAACTCAGGTTTTCTGTTGGTACTCAGAATAATAAAAAGTCTACTAAAGGAGGTCGAGCTGTCTCATTTACGGCTCCTAAACTTTGGAATAACTTTCCTGATAATGTCCGAGGCTCAGACACACTTATTTCAAACTGTATGATGCAAGGTTGCGCTGAAAATGTCAGAATTAAAAAAAAAAACTGAGTATATTTTTCGTTAAAACCAGCGGCAGCAAGAGTACAACAACTGACGAGGACGATGTTTATGTACCGAACGTTTTTTGTACTGTAGCTCTTCAACAACAGCAGCCTCTTTTCCAGTTTGCTGCTACCAGTAAAGAGCCAGGCCCCGTAACTTTACCAAAACTAGTCATGAGTCAACACACTATGGGCAGGCAGGATTGTCAATGAGTGAATATAAAAATTTGATATATTAAAATTACTGTTAATGTATATTACACCTGCTCAATGAAAAATGCCCTGAGACAATTAATAAAATCAGATAATTCACTACATTAATAAATCTGACTTCACTTGATCAGAAAGCTAAAAAGGGGAAAACATGAAGATATCATTGGAAAGTAATAATGTGGTTAAAAAAGTCTGGCAGATAACAGTGCAATAGTTGTTTTATTTTTTTATTTGTGTTTAAGGACTGGATATTCGTAAACAGTTTTGCGCAGAATATATATTCAGGTATTGTAGAAAAGGACATTGTGATGTTTTAAAGAATAATGTTGGCGATTTAGCTACCCTTTAATGTTCTTATATAAAAAATAATTGAAGTTATAAAGCAGCTGTTTCCTTGAAAGAGATATGATAGTGTCAATACAAAATTTTATACATTTAATTTTTATATATTTATTTTATACCTATAGCTTAATTTATATTTGTTTTTATTTTATATATTTTTTTCATTTCAAGGTTTGGATTTTTATGTGCACTAATTCTTTAAATAAATAAATTTTGATACTGTTAAACATTACATTGTGTTAACTGTTCAAAAAAATCTTCACTGTGACGTACTGAATTGAAATTATGTTATTTTAATATCTAATAATATTATAATATTATAAATATTATTGTCATAAACTGAAGTGGGCTGATCTAGGGCTTGAAACTCCAGGGCTGAAAATGAGTCCCACTCCGGCCCTGGTCGTGGAACATTGCCTTTTGTTTGACAATGAAAATCGTGTTGATGTCAGAAACCAACTTCTGGTCGCCGTCAATGTCCAACATTGGACAGACATTGCAAATTACTTTCCAAAACAATCTAAAAACAACAAAATTTCAATGTCTAATAATGTAACAGCTTGACGATGTGTGGACTTGATGGTAAAAAAAAAAAATGGTAGGACATTTTTTGGTAGCATACATAAATAAATAAATAAAGTGTGGTTAAGATTACCATCTGTCAAGCTAATCCAGCCAAACATTGGTGCTTTTAAAGTCTCTAAAATGCAGTATTTACATCTCATAATTAAATAGAAAATGAGTCAAATAACTGCAAAAAGGTCCAGTTTTCCAGAAAAAAAAGAACAACCCCATTCAATAAGCTGGTTGCTGGTTAGTCATGATTCATTTCACTCAAGTGAGGTTTGTCAGTCGTTCCCGAATGAACCTGGTCGTCTGACAGGCGAATCTGAAATGCGCGCGCTCGCACCTGATGGCGGGAATAGAAGTGTGTGCACACGGCGCTCTTCAACACACACCCATTATTCCAAAGCAAAGCTGTGTGACGCGTCGTGATCGATGGCGGCCATTAATCACGCCAGCGCCGCGGCTAGAGATTGATGTGCACAAATTCAAATCTTCAAGCAGCGTTTGGGAAATTAAAGCAGCCAGGCAAGGTTAGGGTCCTTCCCGGCGACGCTGAATGAGCTCCCGGGGGTAAAGGAATCTCAAGCTGAGGTCAGGAGAGCTTCTTTTAACCTGTGAACCGCCAGCTGTCAGCAGCACACAACGGATGCCCTGTCAAAACGACGAGGAAATGGGCAAATATAACTTCACACTGTACTTAAAAGATTATATACAAGGCGAAAATGTCTCTATCTTACTCAATGTTGCCACAGTTTTATGTAATTCTGATAACAAACATACCTGTAGCAAAACCATATATTTGATGCTTGTGTTTTCATTTGGAAGATGTATTTTTAGATCATTCATCAGTTATTTGTATAAAGTATCAATGAAATATTATAATTTCCAGACCAAACAATCTTTAACATTTGTGTCATATTTGTTTAACAAAATTAATATTTAGTGACGTGGTAAAGGTATTTCTGTATTATCATAGTTATAATCTATCTATCTATCTATCTATCTATCTATCTATCTATCTATCTATCTATCTATCTATCTATCTATCTATCTATCTATCTATCTATCTATCTATCTATCTATCATATTTGTTAAATAATAATATTAATAATAAGGTGTTACTTTATAGTATGTTTGGTAGCTTCCTCATAAGCTTCAGACTGTGTCTTCAGACTATTGCCGAGGCTACAAATATATAATTTTGGAAATAATGTTTTATCGATCATGCGTGCCAAGCTCTTTTGTTTTTCTTTATTCTAATAAGTTTTTAAAGTTTTTTAATATTCAATGGATGAGAAGAATAAATGCCACCTCAGTGATCTCACTGTACCCAGTTTTTCCTGATTTCTCATTAATTATTGGAAGTTATTCCCATAAACCAAGCAACATTTCAAAGGTTGATAAGACATCAGTGTAGCGTCGGAATCCATGTGTTTTTAATTTAGATTTGCCTGTACATATACAAGTACATATACAAGTAGCCACCTTTTGCTTTGATGACTGACTTGCACACTCTTGGCATTCTCTTGATGAAAGTCTTATTTGTTTTATTTCAATTAGAACAAAAGCAGTTTTTAATGTTTTAAAAAGCATTTAGGGACAAAATTATTAGCCCCTTTAAGCTACATTTTTTTCGATAGTCTACAGAACAAACCATCTTTATATACTATATTGCCTAATTACCCTAACCCTAATAATATATATATACATACATACATACATACATATAAAAGTACCTCCTATGCATTTGGCTGTCTCCAGAAATGTATACAGAGGTAGATTTTCAGAATGAGCCTGGGTTGCTACTATTAAAAATTATAATAAAAGTCACTTTTAGATCAGGGTCCCATATTGGAATTCAAAAACATTAATAAAAGAATAATAAACATAATTCAGAAATATAGAAAACTGTTAAATTTTGGTTATTTTAAAGTGCTCTAAACACCAAGGCTTCTCAGTGTCATGTTGTGTTTTCTTTTGTTTAGTTTATTCAGCAAGCAGTATTGACAGTACAACTTATTTTCTAGAAAAAATCTGTATGTTGTTAAAGAAGCTTCTAATATAGTCACCTCACACAGTAACACAGTTTCCAGATTTAGCATCAGAGGCATTCGGGTTATGGCTAAGTTCAGCAAAACAACAACAAATGCGTTTCTGCTGGCTCAATAATTCAGACTCCTGCTTTTCCAGGTCACAGAGACATTTACGGCTATGCGCGCCACCAGTTTACTTCAAAACCCCGCCGTCGAGTGCAATGCTTTACAGTGGACATAAAGCAGGAGATGTTCAACATCATCACCGATAAATCTCGAAATCAAAGCAAACCCAAATGGAAGCAGAAACAAGTGAGTGAACATTTCTGGGAGATTTACTGCAGCGGGTCGAAAATCTGTCTGCACAGCGACAAAGAACAAGGAAATTGATGTTAAAGAAAAACATGACATGCTCTTGTGATCTGTGGTCTACAAATTTGAATTAGTTGTGAATCATCAAAGTAATCAGAGCTCATGATTTCATTTACTTATGAGTCATTTCAGAAAGAGTATTTCTAAAAGACATATATTAACTCAATAAAAGCCAATCTTTTGAAATGTTTAATGCATGTTTTACACATTCACAAATGTCATAACATTATATAAAGAATATTTTTTTTATTTAAAAAAGTGAGTAAACCTGTTTTAAGTTGCTAAGTTGCTTTAACTTTATGTTTTATTATGTGCATAATTAATTTATTTAATTTACTTTAAAAATTTTAAGACAACATTTTTACCCACTTTTATTTAGTCAAGTGAACGTATCGCTTTACAAGCAATGGGTCTACTCATTTTTATTAAGTAAAGTCAACTAATCACTTTAAAAGCAATGGGTTTACTGACTTTATAATGTAAAATCAAGTAATCGCTTTAAAAGCAACAAATTTATTCACTTTTATTAAGTAATGTCAACTAATCACTTTGAAAGTAACATATGTACTGACTTATATAAGGTAAAGTCATTTAATTGCTTTAAAAGTAACATATTTACTCACTTTTATTAAGTAAAGTTAACAAAATTTTTTAAAGCAACAGATTTACTCACTTTTATTAAGTAAAGTCAACTTTTTTTAAAAGCAACAGATTTACTCACTTTTATTACAGTTTTTCTCAGTCACTTTGGTGCATTTCTCACAACACTATTTACATTTGCACAACAGTTAAGGCATTTCTCAAAATAGTTAGTACAAACTGCGAAACATAGGTGGTAACCTGCAAAAGCATGTCACATGCTCAAAATGGATAGTTCATTCCTCAAAAGCAAGTATTGATGTCAATCAAAGTGTCAGTATCATCAAGATGAAAAGTCCTGACACCATTGTTTATCAACAAGATAGTCAACTGGCTTTGTCATGGTTTTCATTAAGACAGTTTAATCTGTAAATTTTTTTCAATGCAAAAAAAGTCAGGTTTTGGTGACACTTCCTGAAAATGCTCAAGACAGCACTAGATACTCTTTGCACAGCCATTTGAAAATTACAGTAAAGTTAGACATCACTGCATTTAATGAGGTATCTGAGTACAAGACACTGAATGTTTCACATTTTTACTGCTTATGCTCGTTGCAATTCTAATTCATTCACAGCATTGTGCAAAATAATAAATACACCCTTATTTACAACAAACATAAACTTCCTTTGGGTAGAGCTGTGCACAACTCTGAACAATATTGCAGTATATATTGGAACTGAACCTACAACAAACACAGGTCTGTAAATCATTTATGAAACTGTTCAATTTAGAAGACACTTTCAGGAAAATAAATATTTAATTTATTTTATAAAAGTTGCTAGACAAATTTTGACAACTAGTTCAACATTTTTGTATGTAATGACTCAAGTAATGAAATGAGGACTATTAGTTTTATATGGAATTACTATTCAGCATTTACAAGTTTAGTTAATGTTGACTGACATGCATAAGCAAATGATAATGTTATAAAGAGCAGAGACTTGTATGAAAGCAATTGATGCATGTCCAAAAGTATCTACAATGTGTTGGAAGGAATGAGAAACTGCTACTATGATGTGCACAAATGTCTAATTGTTTTGAGAAATGCATTACATGTTGTGTAAATGTAAATAGTGTTGTGAGAAATGCACCAAAGCCACTGAGAAAAACTGTAAGTAAAGTCAACTATTTTTTTTTAAAAGCTACAGGTTTACTCACTTTTATTCAGTAGTCAACTAACAGATTTAAAACCAAAGTGTTTACTCACATTTATTAAGTAAAGCCAACTAATGGCTTTAAAAGCAAAATCAATAAATTTAAATAAATTTAAACACAATGAATTTAAAAGCAAGATTTACTCGCTTTCATTTAGTAAAGTCAACAATTTTTTTTAAAAGCAACAGATGTATTCACTTTTATTAGATAACGTCAACTAATTACCTTAAAAGCAATGGGTTTACTAATTTTTATTAAGTAAAGTCAACTAATCGCTTTAAAAGCAACAGATTTACTCACTTTTATTAGATGAAGTCAACTAATCGCTTTTAAAGCAATGGGTTTACAATTTTGTTTGTGACAGTCAACTAATTGATTTAAAAGCAACAGATTTACTCACTTTTATTAAGTTAAATCAACTAATCGCCTTTAAAGCAATGGGTTTCGTTACTTTTATTAAATAAAGTCAACTAATAGCTTTAAAACCAATGGATTTACTAACTTTCATTAAGTCAAGTTAACTAATCAGTAAAAAGAAATCAATGGGTTTTTAATCTTATTAAATCAAGTCAACTGATCGCTTTAATAGCAACTGGTTTACTCACTTTTATTAAGTCAACTAAATGCTTTAAAAACAATTGGTTTTTACTCACTTGTATTAGCTAAAGTCAACTTATCACTTTAAAAGCATCACGTTTACTACTTTTTTAAAGTTAACTAATTAACAAAAGAAACATTTAAAAGTCTACTTGTTTGGTTACATTAGACTGAAAACACTATGGAGAGTCAAAAAGAGTCCAAAATCTCAAAATTGACAGTTGCATAAAAAAGCGGTGTTTTGTGTCTCGCTTTAGCATTGTTTCTGGGACAATAGGAGCTGCTCGCCACTATAAAGCAATCCGTTCCACCGAGGGTCCCTGAGGAAAACTGGAACCATTAGGAGGTGAAGAAGAGTCAAATAAAAATACAGAAATAAGCTGCAGATGCTCCCAAATATGCTTAGCATGCTCCCCCAACACTCCTCTCAAATGTCAAGTGCTCGGACTATTCAGCTCCACGGAGAAGAGATGAATATACAACTATTTCCATGCATATTTCGTAGGTGTTCAATGGCAAAAATTGTCAAGATTGCACTGTTGGTTTTATTTAGTAAGCAAAATAAAATTTAGTTGAGTATGGTATTTTATACACGTATAAATGTTCTTATGATTCACTGAAGTTGATAATAATAAATTACTAAATTATTATGTATTGCTAAATGCTAAACATTGTTTAATATATATATATATATATATATATATATATATATATATATATATATATATATATATATATATATATATATATATATATCATGTTATTTTCATTAAATTATCTTATTTTTATGTCCTTTTTAGGTTCACAAGCTCTGAAATTTGATGTCGTCAGCATCAACATCCTGACAAAATTCCAGTTCCTTTGTGGTTTTTTTGTTAATCATACATATTGTACATCATAAATACCACCGGCCCTTTGTTTACTGTGAAATCAATTCCCCCATCGCTTTACATCAGACAGTAAACAGTGATTTGGTGAAGAGGATGTGATGAATGTCGCACAGCAGCTCAGGGGAGCGTCATGTAAACGTGTGGAGATCAGGATCGTCCCCGGAGCCCAATCCTCTACAGTCCTCGGGTTGAAGAGCCCAAGACGAATAAAGACGACTGCCTGCCAAAGCAGAGCCCACGGGACACACGCTTTATTAAAAATAAGCGAGGAGGCAGCATGAGACATTATGAAGAACAGAGCTGAAGTCTCCACCAGCTGGGATATTATTATGGCACACGTGCAGAAGACGACGACCTTTATCAACGGAAGCGTCTGAATCGAGTAGTGATGAGTCGTCAAATGTTGGGTGTTCAGATTGTGTATGTACACTACCGGTCAAAAGTTTGGTGTCAGTAGGATTTTGAAATGTTTTAAAATAAGCTTCTCCTGCTCACCAAGGCTGCATTTATTTGATCAAAAATACAGTACAAACTTTACAATTGTGAAATGTTACTGCGCTATAACTGTTCAAAAGGAGATTATCATTTAATTTAATAATTTATTCCAGTGGTTCAGAGTCATGTGATCCTTTAAAAATCACTCTAATATTAATTCCTTTTCTTCTTCTTCTTCTTCTTCTTCTTCTTCTTCTTCTTCTTCTTCTTATTATTATTATTATTATTATTATTATTATTATTATTAATGGTAATAGTAGTACAAGTAACAATGATGAAGTAATAATTTCTTTTAAAACCACATACAATAGGAAAGCAGTTTTTTTATTAATTATTTTTTTAATTATTTAATAAATTGCACCTTGATAAACAAAAATAATTTTCTTAAAAAAATAAAAAATAAAAAAACTGACCCCAAACTTTTAACCAGTAGTGTATATACAATATTATTTGGACTTTATGATCAACAGAATGTATGTAGGTGATTTTCTGGATGTTGTCTGTGGAGGTTTGTCTCGCACATTTGCAAGTGTCAGATTTGTAATCTCTCCTTTTTTGTAACCGATCAGGCACTGTGGGATGTTCACTTTGCTTCACAATAAAATGAAAAATGTGTTCTTGAGTTATTTGTCAAATGATTCTTTTTAAAAATTAAATTAATTTATTATGCAAATAAATATCTTATTTACTTTAAGCTAAGTATTAAGCTACTATGCTGGATTTAACTTCCAGAAATGTGCTTCAACATTAGGTACATTCAAATTAAGACTGAAAACACATCTGTTTAGCTGTGCCTTTACTGAATGAGCACTGTGCTACATCCTACAGATCACACTATTATGTCTTTCATTTCCTTTTTTATTATTTTTATAGCCTGTTTTTACACAATTTTATTTTTATGTTTTTACTATCTTGTTTATGTAAAGACTTTGAATTACTTTTAAATGTGCTAAATAAACTTTCCTTGCCTAAAATTTATATAGTTGAAGTCAGAATTATTAGCCTTCCTTTTTCCTTTTTAAATATTTCCCAAATTATGTTTTAACATAATTTCCTTCCTCATACTGCTATCACAGTATGTCTGAAAATATTTTTTTCTTCTGGATAAAGTCTTATTTGTTTTAATTTCATCAGTTTTTAATTTTTTAAACACCATTTTAAGGACAAAACTGTTTGGCAAAGATAAAATTAATCAGCTATTTGAAATTAGTTATTAAAACTATTGTGTTTAGAAATGTGCTGAAAAAATATTCTCCCCATTAAACAGAAATTAGAGAAGAAAATAAACAGGGGGTTAATAATTATGACTTCAAAAGTATTTGCTGTTTATATATATATATATATATATATATGTATTATATATTAGTATTATGTATTAGCCCTCCTGCAAAATGTTATTATTTCAAAAATATTTCTCAAGTGCAGTTTTTTTCAAACTCTTTTTTTTAAATAATAGTTTTAATGACTAATTTCACATAACCAAGTTCTTTTGTCAATTCTTTTTCAGCTTAAATGCAATTTCAAAGACTCAAATAAATAGGTTAAAATTGTTTAAAAAGTGAACATTTGCTTCCTCTTTTAAACATCACTTGGGAAATATATATATATATAAAAAACCGGAATACAAATTTTACGAGAGGGCTAATAATTAAGGCAAACCAAAAACTATTCACAGCCCTGTAAAATGTTATTAAATTTTTTATTGATTATTTTTTTTCCACCCACAATCACGCCTTTTGTACATCGACTTGCTATCTTTTGAGAGAAGCCTGTGCTTTTTCCTGTCAAAAACAATACCTGCTGGTTGAATAAAAGTTACTTTAAGTCAGACTGTTTACAGGCTTGGCCACATGTATCAAACTCAGTTCCTGGAGGGCCGCAGCTCTGCACAGTTTAGTTCCAACCCTAATTAAACACACCTAATCCAATCCTAATTGACACTCCTGGTAAATACTGTATACATATGCACAGACAGACAGACAGACAGACAGACAGACAGACAGACAGACAGACAGACAGACAGACAGACAGACAGACAGACAGACAGACAGACAGATAGATAGATAGATAGATAGATAGATAGATAGATAGATAGATAGATAGATAGATCAAGCCAGAATTATTAAATCAAAGTTTCAAGTATGTCAATTAATAAAATAAAGCAGAACGCATCCCAAAACAAAGAGAGCATAAAACATCTCCCTCTTGTTATCTGTCATCTGCACTTCCTCATGCACCCACATACAACTTGACATTAAATCTTATCACCGATTCCACACAAAAAAAGTGTCTCGGACGAGGGCATTCTCGAATCCTAATTGATTCAGCCGCCTGCTTTTCCTCCACGTTCAGACAAGAGCATCCGCAGTCCCACAACACTGCTATAATTTATGTGGAGAATATTAAACACTCAGCTCTATTGATCCCCGGCGCTCTTTATGTGACGTCTTTCTGCTGGGAAAAACGGCCGAGGCCTTGTTAGACACTCGTGAGGAGAAAAAGAGATCCTGTCAAGAGTACTGATTTCTTCTCCCACTGCAACTTAACATGGAGGCGCCATCATTTCTGCTGTGTCAGAGGCTTCTACTGTTTTCATCTTGTGGAAAAACAATGGTTTTATTCCTTGCGTAACTCTGCTTTTTTAGCACTTGACTTTTACATGGAGACAGACATTGACTCAAGCGATTCATGCAGAAATACAGATTCCTCACATCCCCATACATGTTGATTCCTGTACACTTTTGTATCATTGAGAAATACTGATTTAACGAGGAAAGACGATTTTAAAGATGATTTGTGAATGATTTAATCATTCGTTCATACAACCAACATAGCACAGACATCGCCATAAAGTAAATGTTTGTTGGGATGCCATACGCACTAAAGTTTGATTATTATCTATATTATTTTTCTCTACAAAGTTTACACGAGTTAAAAAGAGCAATAATAATGAAGAACATTTAATATTAAACAGTATTTAAAAACTACATACATGCAGAAAAGCCAATATTCATAATCAGGCATAACAAAATTGAGTAAAAACGTCTTTTCATGGTTCCTGAATGTCTCGCAAATACGCAACCCTCTCATGTCTTACATTTCTACATTGTAACTGTAATGTGAAGTGACGCTGGATAAGGGAGTGAGGATCCAAATGCGAGGTTTGTTAGCAGGATGATCAGGCAAGCAAGAGTCAACACAGGAGCAAACAGATGTATACGGGCAATCCAGAGTCATGATCAATAAACAGGCAGATGGTCAAAAAGGCAGGCAGCAGGCAAACAAAACAAGGCGAGGGTCTAAAACACAGCAGGACAAGGCAAGGAAAAATGAGTTGTAATGTTCACTTTGCAGTTCAACAAGACTCAGCAATGAAGTGTGTGTGTGCGCTGTATTAAAAGTTCATGTAATCAGTTCGTAACAATCCTCCGGCTGTGTGTATGCAATCAATCCTGATCAGGAACCGGTTGTGTGTGTGGTGCATGACTGGATCTTGTAGTCCATAATGGTGGATTTGTAGTTCGTTAGCGATCTGCAACCGCTAGATCGCTGATAATCATAACAGTAACAACATTGTGAGAAAGTAAAGGGTGACGTTGACTTTGTAAATATGAAGAGACAACGTCAAATGTGTTTCTTGGGAGTAGATGTCATCACAAGACCCAACCTGGGACACAGGATGGAAAATGCAAATAAAAAAGAAAGTAATGATTTCTAAATTTGCTTTCAAGCAGCACTGCATCAAGAATCATCATTCATCTATAAGCAGACCTTTGTCAAATACCACAATACATACACTTACAAATGCCAGTTAAAACTGTACTCCGCCAAAAGGAAGCCCTAAGTTAACAGTGTCCAAAAGCAACTTCTCTTGGCACGGAGGCATCTGGGATGGACCATCAGACAGTGGAAATGTTGTGCTGTGGTCAGATGAAACAGTATTTCAGGTTTTTCTTCGAGAGAGAGAAATGGATGCAGTGTGCTAAAGAAAAAAAAAAAAAGGATCATCCAGACTGTTACCAGCAACAAGTCTAAAAGCCACGGTCTGTCATAATCAATTTCCTTGAAGAAGGTAACTTGCACATCTGTGATGGCACCATTAATGCTAAAAGTACATAAGGATTTTGTAGCACAATATACTGCCTTCCTTTTCCAGGGACGCCCATGCATATTTCAACAAGTCCTAGCTGCGAAGGAGGAGGATACAAGTATTTGACTGGCCTGTCTGCAGTCCTGACCAGTCTCCAACAGAGAATATGTGGCATATTTCGAAGTGAAAGATGCGACAACGAAGACCCCGTATTGTTGTCCGCACTAAGACTTGTTTGCAGGAAGAATGGAACAAAATTACACCTGAAACACTTAATCACTTGGTGTCTTCAGTCCCTAACCATCTTTAAATTGTTGTGAAAAGGAATGATGTTACAAAGTGGTAAATGGTTTACGGTCCGAAATTTTAATTTTTTTTAAATGTATTGCAGGAGCCACATGTTTATTTTAAAAAAATAAATAAATAAAATTCATGAGGAACACATTAAATAATGTTTGTTGTATTGTCCGCAATAAAATACTAGTCAAAGTGAATGTAGAAATGACTTTTTTTATTTATTTTTTTTATTGGCGACATCTTTATGAACACGGTTGCAGCGTCAAATCATCGCGCTTATTCTGTCATTGTATTTCACACGGAGGAAGGTCAAGAAGGTTTGGTTTAGGTAAAAGAAAAGCTGTTAGATAACCCACGACTGCGTGAAGCACTGCCTGTCCTTTTCTTATTAGTCCTACCTTTCATTCAGCGCAGCGGGAAGCCATTTCTGCCTCACAGAGCTCCAACTCCCCTAAGGACACCCTGCTCTGCAAATTCAGTGTGGAAATGGCTACAGATTAGAGCATTATTAGTCAAGCTTTTAACTTCATCTTGCGAGCACACACACACACATGCGTGTTGGTCCTTTAATAATCTCCACCGCTCGGTAGGAGTGAGAAGTGGCAGGTACGTGGCGATACGATATTAATTATGTTTAGTGATACATCAAGTATTCCAGTTCAGTGTCATATTGCAATTATTCACTTTTCTCTCAGGAGACAAACAGCGGCCATGAAATATGTTTTGGTGACATGCATCTCCAATAGGCAACATTTCATGTGTGTGTTAGTGTAGATAAATCAATTACAAAACAAACTACCTGATATTTATCTTCCAGTTCCTCTCAAACAGTCACTGAAGTGGGTTTTAATAAGTGTCAAATTAGTTTTAGAGGTAATCACAAGTTTTTTTTTTTTTTTTATTATTATTATTTATTTTTATTATTATTATTATTATTATTTTTTATTTTTTTTTAATTGCTAACATCTTGGCTTTTTATTGTAATGAGTATTTAATATTTTTAGTCTAACTCTCACCTCTGCTAATTATCTTTAATGAAATACGATTGTGGTCACAGAAGTCATCAATTGTGTTTTCACTTGCAAAGAGTTCTTAAATTATAATAATATATAATATATAATCATAATTCCACTATATAGCTGGGCAAAAAATAAAATAAATAAATAAATATATATATATATATATATATATATATATATACATATATATATATATATATATATATATA